TCGTGCATTACAATTAAATCCATTTTCCAATGTGTGTGTGGATGTGCAGGTACTTTATTGAGACAAACCTGAGAAAAAGTCTGGTCACAGCAAGAGCGTTCTGCATTCAAACCTGCTGTGGCTTCCCCTGGTGCGAGGTTTCTAGACGTGTTCTCTCACAGTCCAAAGACACGCATGGCGGGTTAATTGATTATTCTAAACGGGCTGTAGGTGTGAGTGTGGGCGAGCAGCGTGGTGTCTGGGCCCGGTGTCATCTGGGATAGGCTCCAGTCGTCTGTGCTCCTCTGCAGGATGAGGCAGGTCTTGCTAATGAATAGACATTCTTCTATTTACATTATGCAGCTTCAGCATTTCAGTTATTAATGAAACTTGGAAGGGTGGCACCATCGTTAGCATTTTCTTTTGCCTTACAGATGAAAAGGTTTTAATCTTCCTTAAACTTTTTGGTTTTGGAGTTATATATGTGACATTCATGCGAGGTTAACTGATGATTCTAGATTGGCTCTCCCTTTTGTGCTCCAGCTTTCTCCTACAGTCCAATAATATGGTATTGTTCGCCCTGTGATGGACCGGCAGCCTGTTAAAGTGTACCCTGTCTTTCACTCTTTAAGCTGGGATAGTCCCCCCCTACGATACTTGGAAATACACTGAGGCAGAAAATTTCACAGCTTGCACAAGCTACAAGCTCCCTCTCAATATGCCCAATTATATTACCAGTGTTTCATGTTTTTTACTTTTCATCTCTGAGCGGATGGTCCATTAGTAATGACGCGTGCTGCTGTTTTTGCTTGCAAATCCACGATCAGGAAGCCTGCTGCGCTGCAGTCCGACTACCAGCACTGATACAGCGCGCTAGTTTATCAAAGGATTTCATCGCGCTTACAAAAATATACATTTTAAACATGGGAAACACAATTTGCTAAACCTCCCCAGAGCTTAATTTGGTTGTGCACGATGCAACAGATGGATGAGTGGGCTGTTGGGTTTTTTTCATAAAACATTTTAGCAACCGCAGAAAAGTATGTGAAAGTTTAATTTGCTTCTTTTGCAGCCTTTCTCTTGAACCTGGTCTCAAAATTTTAAAATGCTCATATGGTATTTCAGTTTGGTTTTTTTCCATCATTGAGAACAGATTAAACCAATGCCTGCCTGGGCTGCCTCCTCCATCCTTATTCATTGTGGTTTTCATTGCTTCACCCCGACCACGCACTAAGTGCCTCTGTGAAGTCAAAACACTGACGAAAGGTGGTTGGGTCAGTCGCGACTCCGCTATCTTAACGCGGGAGGATATATGTGGAGAAATAAAATAAAGTGGAAGAACTTGCTGGACGGCATCTCAGTCCACCTACTGCTTTGGCGAACGTATATATGCTGGGAGACGAGCAGCGAATCATGAGCGGCAAGAAGACTCCTCACCACCAGGTTCATCAATCGGCCTCCTCCTCCACAGGAAGCCTTCCGCAGCGTACAGCCTTCAGATCGGAAAAGCTATTTTAGTAGGTCTGCCACATCATGACGCGCAGGAATCAGGAGTGCATTAGAGGTTTTCATGGAACTGTTGTTTCCTTCGGGCTGGACCACATTGTTTTATAACAGGAACTCACTATAATCTAGGTCTCTCTGGACCCCCTGGGGTTTTCTGTAAGGAACTGCTGTGATTCCAGCCTCAAAGGTGAATGAAGACAATGTCAGGGTGAAAAAAAAAAACAACAGACTGATTTAGAGTCTATGTGAAGGAGGAGAAGGCGGCTTCATGTCCCCTAATATAGAAGATGTTGTCCTCTTCTGATGTCAATGAGAAGGAAAGCCTGTGGATCATGATTTCAACATACATGATGAAGTATTTTCCACATTCCCTCTCCAGTTTTATTCTATTTTATCTTGACAAAAACAACTCTGATTGAGAATAACCCACACAAAAGAAATGTAATATACTGTTTTGAATCAGTGGAGAACAGAGGCTTCTTTTCATGATTTTAGAAGCAGCATCCTTAAATCCAGCACGACACAAACAATAAAGTACAAGGATGTCTGCCATGTCTGTAATATTACTCACTACAGTGTCTGAGGTGGTAAAAATCATTTTACAGCACACATATAGGAAAACACGAAGAGACGTGAGGCCAAGAAGGTTGAAAAGCATCAACAGAAATGTGGCCCATGCTGCCCTCTGCAGACTGTTGACTGCCTTCTCACTTCACACAAACGGCTGGTTACAGGCTGCAGTGTGCATGCATCGCAAAGGGTGTCACTGATAAACAGTATAAGACATTTGTACGTACTCACGGGTGAAGTTCAGGATCCAGTAAAAGCGAAAGGAGCCACACAGGATCATGAAGATGGAATGCGAATTAGCAGCTCCTCACTCACTGACTGTGTTAGATCCCACTAAGCACATAGATCGATTGCCAAATGTTGCTGACGCTCAACAGGGAGTGAATGTTATTGTGACGAATTAAAATCAAGGCCCAGAAACAAAAAAGAATAAAAATACTTTCATGTGTAGCTCCGTTTTTATTTTAATTTTAATATCTTTGACAGCTAGCAGTAGAAAAACAGCAGATTAGAGAGGCAGGCCACTTGTTGTTTCCTAGTTGTAATGTCTTCACGACGTAGAAAAACTGTCAGAATAATAATAAAAAACTTAAATGTGAAGATGTGTCCACGGGTTTGACTGCTCAGTGCTTGGTTTGTTATATTAATGGATGGTTGCCATCATCCTCCACTACCTCATGCTGCTTCCTTGATATATATCCTAAATATGATGTAGTTGATCTTGCTCCTGGGTTAACTTTCAGTGCATAGATGTACATTTTGAGGGGAATGCCAGGGATACATCACATCAGCACAACACATGCTTAGTCCTGCTCTATAAACACATGGAGGAAGCAGAGGGCTTATAGTTAAGAAATCAACTTTACACAAGACACAATGATTCGTCAGCATCGGGTCTCTTTAACTTTCAAAATGTGACTGTGAACTATGAGCTCACACAACCAGTGAATCTCCTCTTCTCCTCTGGTGCTGTTTAAAATGGTAACTGCACTTATATAGCACTTTTCTACCTTTGTGGCACTCAAAGCGCTTTACAGTGTGTTTCTCATTCACTCATTCACACACATTCATACCAATGTCTAGAGAGCTGCCATGCAAGGTGCTGCCTGCCATTGGGTTCAGTGTCTTGCCCAAGGACACTTCAGCTGTGGAGGGGCTGGAGATTGAACCGCCAACCTTCCAATCAGAGGACAACCGCTCTACCACCTGAACCACAGCGGCCCAGGCAGGGTGATAACAGAAGGTCAAAGCAAGGGGAGGTCTGGCATTAGGTTGTGTTTTGTTTTTTTCACCAAAAAGGCTCAAAACTGGGTAAGTTGGGAGCCACAAGGACTGTTTTTTGAGTTTACTTTTAGAAATGGCATTTTTGTTTTCCAGCAATAAGTACAGGTTTGAACTGAGTGTCATTCTCTACTGGTGTTTAGCATTTTATTTGGTTATGGCCCAAAAAATATCTCATTCTCGTCAGTCTGCTGCAGAAGCATAGCTGAGATGTTTGTGACTCAAATCCCCCCAAAACACAGATATGTGTTGTATATTTTGAGTGCATTGCTAAAGGAGCGGTTATAGTCCAGGGGTTTGTAAATTCATTAAAATGATATTAAAAGATGCCACATGATGCCACAGATTTAAAGAGGTTGGCTCCCCAAAGAAAAAAGCCAATCGAGGACAGAAGAGTAGATCATTACTGTATGTATGTTAAGTCAGTAAGGATGATAATAAATAAAAAGATATAATCTACAAGAGAATGAACACTACAGAACACCTGACAGCCTTACCGCATTACATTCTATTAGAATTTGGAGTTCCGCTTTGTTTTTCTTCCCTCCTTGCAGCTCATGCACACCAGCACACCATTAAACTAGTCTACACTACTTAATGGCAAGTTGTAACATCAGAGTGATGCAGTCATGCATGTTTCAACTGGAAACCAATTCTGAAAAGGAATAACGATACACAAAGCCCCACCCTGCCAGCAAACAGGACTGGTTACTTCGGTTTGTTAAAATCCAAACGTCTGAATCTGTGTTTACAGACTGTCATCAGGACAACGCTGCGTCGAGATGGAAATACTCAGCCGTGATGTTAAAAAAAAAAAAACACCCTATATAGACGTGTTAAAATGGAAAACACTTGATTATCAATGGATCGATGGGGTCTTTAAAAGAAGAAGAAGAAGAAATTCTAAGGTGATATATTGCATCAAACAAATGCACTGGACCAGAGTGATAGTTTAACTAACACAGGTTGGAATTTTATTTAAAACTATCATCATAGAAGTGGACAGCACTGACTGAAATCCTGTGTACAGAAGAGCAACAGTTTTCTCGGGACATTGTGTCATCTGGAGGAATATATTCATTCAATTCTTTACAAATGACATTTGTCCAAAAAGAAAAAAAAAGAAAAAAAAGAAAAGAAAGTAAGAAAAAGAAAAGAACACCTACACAAACTCTTATCTCAACCACAAACTGACAAAATCCCTTTTTGTTACTGCCCTTTTAACTTAGCATAGTAATAGTCACAATGGCTACAGGCACAAGGTATTTGTGCATTCAATACTTCTGATATACTTTGGCTTAAATAAATACAAGACTTTTGGTCTGTAGCTAAATTATGCAGTAACACTAGTGGAAACAGAGGTGCAAACTGTGCCTCGGAGCACCTCACAACAACATTCATACCTGATATCTTAAACATCTTGGAAAAAAAACAAAAAACAAAACAGTTCTCATGCAGGCTCTACACAGATAATTACAGCAGAATAGGCATATTGCACATTGCCTATACCTTATGGTTCAAAGTGCTCCACCAATCTCATCAAGACTCTTCAAATTAAAAATATGCTTTTTTTTTCTTTTCCTTCAGTGTATTCTCTTACGTTCAGGAGAAACAGATCATCTTTTCTCATCCTGCCCAAAAAATGACTAAATCTTGGAAAACCATCACCTGTCAAAGCACGGAGCAGCGCAGGAGTAGTGCATGCTGACCTGGTAAGCCCTGTTGGGAATGTTAGACTTTGGATCCAGCGAGGCAGCGATGGCTTGGGTGCTGCCGAGCTGGGGGCCGCTGGGAGCCTGCAGGCTGGTGCTGGAGTGGCTGAGGTAGGAGGCAGGCCTGTGGTTAGGGGCCAGGCTGGGCTGAGGGGCTTGCTGGGGATACTGCATGCTGGGCCGGGGCAGGTACTGCGCCACAGTGGCTGCCTGGCCTGAACTGTGGAACACTGTCTGGCCCTGCTGCTGCTGCTGCTGCTGCTGCTGTTGGCCGGGCTGCTGGCACTTTTGCTTGTTGGCCTCTTTGACATCACTGTCATGTGCACTGAGGAAAAAAAAAAAGAGACAAAGAGTTGCACTGTTGATTAGTGAAAAGAGCCAGTGCTGTAAAGATGACCAGTGACGTGTATGTATAGTGTGAAATGTAAAGGCCACTGTCTGCTTGTGCAGTCTTTGAGAGCCTATTGTCCTTGTGCAATGCGTGCCACTGTGAGCTGTCAGTATCCATCTTAATCACTGTCGCCAAAATAAATTCCCATTTTAAATTTTCCCCAGTGACCGCAGTCATTTTTATTAACTGTCACGTAAGCGAGCCGGCGTCATCTGAGTGACAGCTAGATACGCACACGAGTAGTTTCTCGGCACACGGGACCAGGTTCTCCCATGCGTAGCCGGTGAGGCGCTGCAGTCGGGGTGGCCATGTGGGGGACAGGTGGAGGATGAGGCGTGAAGCGGCCACACATGCAGCGGCCACCAGTGAGGGTGCAAAACACAAGAACACATGATCTGAGAGGAAAAAGAAAACAGTAGACCCAGCAAGTTAACACAAAGAAATGGTACAAATATATTCTGATGAAAACAGCATTTTACAGTATCGACAAAACAGAGCTGTAACCGAACCCTGGCTGTATTGTCACTGCTTTGTGGGATTTTTTACTGTCTAGTTAAGTCTACATTATTTATATTATTTATATAAAGCAAGAACCATCGAGCCAAAGGGGTTTGTAGTTGAGAAATGTACATGATAAGTTTAAATATTGAGGATAAGACCATACAGTACCACTTATTATGTGAATTTACCCAACTCATTTTAAGGTTAAGGTTTAAAAAAAGATATATATATATATATATACATATATTAACTAACAATTTGCCAGACTAAAAATTGCTTCTCATACTGCAGGAAGCTAAGTTTGCTAAAACAACAGCGTTATATAAAGAGAAAGCTAGCTGGTGAGCCTTTGCTAGCATTAGCTCAAGTTAAAACTAAATTCTCACGAGCTTATCTGCAGGTGAAAATATCCATTTTGGTGAACCAACATCTTAGTAATGATTTTCTTATTTTATTCCACTCAGCTAAATGAGTTGTAGCCAATTATACAGAAAGAAAACTTAACTACTGCTAAAGCTAATTAGCCTAGCAAGAATTCAGATTCATCTAGAATTCATGTGATCTGACATGGTTAAGCAAACTTAGATGTAAATTTGTTTTATTATTTTGATATAAATATTTGGAGAAGACGGACAGACAGATCAAATATAAGGTACAGTTTATTGCTATGAACTGTGAATATCCAAAGTAAACTTTTTTTTTCTGAGGGGTCAAGTTAAAGTGGACAAAAAGCTCAGAGAACACATTTCGCTGGCGCCTGCTGCAGCTGTATTTTCGTCTTTCGGAACGTTGCTGCAAATCTGCAGCGATGTCATGTTTTCATATAGAAATTAGATCCGGGGCAAACTTTGCAGTGAACTTCTGGCTAACTTTGCGGAAAGGTTACAGCGGGCTTCGGGGAATGTCTATAATTTATAACAAGCCTGCTCATTCATATTTTATGTAACTTTTATAGGATCTCAAGATTGGTTTTCTTGGTACTTGAACAGTGGCACAGACTGTCAGTCAACTGCACAGGCTCCCTGTGTGGGTCTCCTTCAGGTTCTCTGGCATCCTCCTACAATCTAAACACATGCGTGGTGGGTTAAATGGTGGTTCTGAACCGACCGTTGGTGTGAATGTGAGCATGAATGGTTGCCATACAGTGGTCGCTGCAGTAGGGTATAGCTAATGCATTGGACCATTTTCCCCACAGTGTCCAGTGGCAAAAAAAAAAAATTGACATTGCTGCAAATTTGAGATACGGAAAACGCTCGTACCAAACTTTTGTTGATGTCAAAAACTAACCACAAGCGTTTTTCAGAAGCTAGAGATGTGCCAATATTAACTCAGTTGATCAGGGTAATTTTAACTGATCAGCTCCTGAACAATCCGAAGCCTGATCCTTTGTTTACATCCACAATCAAAGAAGTGTCAGATATTTTAATAATATTCTTAGTAAATGCAATATTATTAATGAATAAATGATTAAGTCATAATACAAACTCAGCACAGTGGGCATCAGACCTGTGCTGACATTGCTGGTTTAAGCCATGGACACATGCTAACAGCAGCACACATGGCTGTGTTTCATTCCACCTTGGTTTAAGTTGGATTTATTACATTAGTGCTGGCCAGAGTCATTAAGCCTTACAGAAGACTTTGTCTTTGTGTCTACTTAAGAGGCTTCACCTGCTGGTGCAACCTGGTACTACAGCTAATCTACAATGTGTATGATCCAGGAAAATGGTATCAGCAGATACTGAATATTAAATGACTCGGATCAAACCAGAGTAAGGACTCACAAACCTAACTGGAATGTCGCTACCAGAAACCGTTTTTTTTTTTTTTTTTTTTTTTTGGTAATGGTGAATCATTTATACACATTCTCAAATCAATAACATTTCCTCTAATTTGAACTTAGTGAAACTGAACTTTTCTCCCATTTCAGACTCTTAAATTTTTCTGATCACATATTGGGAAACACCTGTAATTGTAAACAGTCCAGATACCTTATAAAGTGCAATGTACCTTGCAAGGAAACCTCCAGGAAGTAATCAGCATATTTGGCCATATATAGTTTAGTCCTCTCCAGGCAGGTCATAGGCCAGCCATCATGCAGATCCCCCTCATGGACGGCAATAGACAGGTAGTATTCTATGAAATGAGCAGCTGTAGGGAGGTAAAGATTCCACTGGAAAGTTTCCAGCAGGAGCAGCTCCATGTGCAGCAAACCCTGCTTAGTCAGGACCAGGTTCATGGAGCTCATGCAGCCCAGGCTGTTCAAGGTCTCCAGCTTTGGCACACGGTCTTCCCTTTCCTCAAATTTACCTGCAGAGAAAAATAACGTGATCCTTGACAGCAGTGTAGAGACTAAACAGTGAGAAGCTGGAATGTGAGGTCAGCTGCTTGGACACTTACAGGCCAGAAGAAGACACGAGAGAGAGACCATGTGGAGCTGCTGCAGCGTGACGTCATAGCGGTCCATGAAGAGGTCCAGCAGGTAGACGGCCAGGTGTCTGGCTGCAGGACACAGCCTGAAGCGGTTGCTGACGATGGCTATGAGGTCTGCAAAGTACCGCCTCAAGTTGAGCTGAGGGGACTGGCCTTTGTAGGACGGCAACTTGAGCTCCTGTTAGACAGAAGATTGTATTTGAGATCTCGAGAACACATCTTTGATCATCACAACTGGGGCTGCACAACACATCGTGAGCATGCTCAATAGTCACATCGCTGAAGGTGCAATGTAAAGGAAACTGAAATAACTCAAACATGTCATGCATTTGTTCTGCAGCTCATTTTCTACGACTAATCTACAAGAGAAGCCGGTCTGACTGACGCTAAATTGCTCTGACTAAAGGGTTCTTGGGTAAAGTGAGTGTCTTTTAAAAAGGTCCCATATGGTGATGGCAGGAACAACAGCAGCTAACAGGTTTCAAAAGTGTTTAGAACCGCCCTGAAAGCTGGAGTTGAAAAGGGGCACAATATAGGACCTTTAACTTTATTTACAAGACGAGGAGTTTTGTGACACACGGGTTCCACATGTACACAAAAAAAATGAGCAAGGAACAAGAAAGAAACACCGAAAAGAAAGATGTAGTTGCCAGAAAGAGGAAAAAGGAAATATCTCAGCTGCAGAGACGATGCTGTTTACCAAAACCTGCTCCTCTGTTGGCAGCGTGTTGCAGCGACACAACTAATTTGTTGGAACATTTAAATTAGCAGCACAAAGCTGCATGATGAAAGTCATGCCTGAACGTCTTCCAAAGCAAAAAAAATAAATAATAAGAATTTGGATGCCAGTGTTGCACCACATGAGAAATATTTCAAATGAATTCTTTGAACTCTGTTATTTTTTATTTTCCTTTTTACATCACCCCTATCGTGTCATTCTTTCCAAATAGTTCTTCAAGTCATCTTGTAGTAAGAGGGTTTTTTTTTTCATCTGGCAGACAAACAAAATATCAGTATTTCCCCTCTATCATGTCAAGCCCTACATTTTGATCAGATTCTATTAGAATATTATGTAGACACAACATAGACATGCATGTGCACACAATATCAGCATGGGGTTGAAATAAATCAGAATACAGGAAACAAACAAGTTAAAATTGCAAAGGGAAAAATCTATTTCACTACATGTGGTGAATGAACTTTAATAATAAATGGTTTTTAAAAAAAAAAGTATAAAATGATTAAGTTATGCATGGATTTAAAACCCACTACCGACCTACATGTCATCATTTTTGGGTGTAATTGGTATCAGCTGAATAATGTGAAGCTGTGGCGGAAACTAAAGCGTGACACTTCAAAGAAACTTTTTTTTTTTCCATGGTTGCCTCCTTTTGGTCTATTTTTTGCTCGGAATTTCTGGACTCACTTTGTATCGCAGCGCCTGGTATATATCTGCAGCAAGTTGTCCTTTCCACCATTGGTCCTCCAGCTCCATTTAACACAGTGCTTTGGGAACTTCTGAAAGGCAAAAAAAAATCACAATCAAATAACTTGAAGATGCTCTGCACATGGAGGAGGGGGAGGAAGGAATCAAATCATTCCTGACACACAATGACAGAGTGAAACTCGCAGCCATGGAAGTGCTCGGCAGGACTGGACACCGGGATGAGTCGCCTTTGTGATTTTTCTAATGTGGGAATGTCAAGCAAAAAAGTTAGTGTCGGCGGCTTGAAAGTTGACACTCACCCAATGAGCACATGTAGTGAATATTACGGGCAAGTTTCACTGAAGTAAACTTCCACTCAAACTAGCCGGACACGCTTTGCTCCCACTCATTGTTGTAGTCAGTGAGGCGCTTTCGGCTCAAGCAGCACGAGCTCAGCAAACACTGCTGCTGCGTTCACGGGCCGGTCGGAATTTCGACAGACCGATCGATTTAAATGAAGCAGAAAAACACGAAAAGTGGTTTTCAGCGGGTGACAAGCACAAAAACGTACACCAAACCCAATTTATATACCCTTTTGTTGTGTCTTTAACACATCGTGTTTTATGTTATTTCTAAAAATCTCGCTCATTCGCCTTAAAAGTTATCCCTCATGCATGCTATAGCGTATTTATTGAAAATGGGCATAAGCAATGAAAGATTGTTGGTGAAATATTGTTTGTATTCATAAATACTTATGTCTGAATGTCTACTGTCTCCCAGAGGAAACTTCCAAAGTACGGGAGAAGTTTTGGATTTACACTTGAATGCATCACTGCGTCATTACGTCATGGGATGTAGCGTAGAGGACGCAGCCAATTAGACGTAAGAACAGATGTCAACATCCAATCGTTGGAGAGCCTGGACAGCCACTTGTCTAATACAACCATTAACCAGTCAAATGGCAATTTTTGGATAGAAACACAATTGTGCAGATTTCCAAATAAAGATGTTGTATGTCTGTGAGTACATATTATAAACTCAATGATGTCTGTAATTATAGTGAAAGCTCACAAGCTAAAACAGAAAAAAGACACTTCACTGGCAACCTTTTGTTCAGGAAGCATGCAAGTTCATTTATAAAGCACCTCATCAAACACAGAGGTTATTTAAAGCGCTTTAGATGGGGCAAAAATAAAATTAAAGGATAAAATCAAATGAATTATTCGTGCACTGGATGCTTCTGATGAAATTTTGACACAATTGTTCCTATTTTCAGATAATGATCTACTCATTTAATACATCTCTGCATTTTGTGCAACATGAAAATCTTTTTTCACACCTATGGCAACACAAGATAGAGTTAAACAAACAACAAGATATAGGATTCATCACTTGTGGATAATTTGGTCACAGAGGAATCCCATTCTGTAGCATGACAGAATGACATTCTACATGTAAAATGTAAAATAATTAAAAGATATATCCCAAACTCCAAGTTGCACATTTGCAGCATACAAAAAACACACACATTTGTTCCTATTTTCAGATTTCTAGATTAAAAAAAGAACTACTTTTTATCATTTTATATGCATTTGATTATGAAAAAAAAAATTCTCTTTTCCACTTACATAGCACCACAGGATAGAGAAATAAACAAAACAAGTATAGGATTAATCTCTATTGGACTCTTTGTCAACACGACCTGAAACAAGCCTGGGCTTTTGAACCAATATGACAATAAAATCTATGAAAACCTTCCTAACACAAAGCATATTCTGGTTAATAGGACTGCAAGTAACACATTCAGACATTCACCCAAGCTAGGTCGCACTAACCTAAATAATAAACTTAGAATGGATAGTGTATTATGTTGTCAGTCCTTCTATGTTAAATACAGAGAAGCTCATCTACCACTGTCTATCTTGTCTGTCCTGCTGTCTTGTGTCAGTGTGGAGTCACCCTGAGCATCTTTCACCTCATCAGGGTGCTGGTTTATAGGCCACATGATGGGAATTTATCTATTTTGTTCTAATGAAAGTGAAAATAGACAGATAGCCAATTTGGAAATGTTGTGCCTTAAATGAATGAAATATTGCGCAATTATGAGCAAAGAAAAATGCATACTGAATGAGCGTATGGATACATATGTGTATTGTGCACAGCTGTGTGAGCTGCATTCACTAAACTCAACTCTACTCTGAGTACACAGTCTCCTCCTAAAAACTACAATCAGGAACAACACAAATAGTTTTAGTTTAAATTGTACTTGCACTTATATTTCTGCATGTGTTCTTCCCACAAAAGAAGCAATGCCTGTTTAATTTCATGCTGACAAAATAATTCATTGAGTCACGTTTGTAAAGCAAACCCAAAATGGGTCAGCTAGCCCCAGCAGCACAGCACCATTAAACGTGACCCAAATAGGTTAAAGCAACATCAGTGTTGCAGCGGTTTCCCTGTCTTTCAAGCGCAGAGGGTTCGGTCATGTAATGCACTGTCCCAGGTTAGCAGAAACGCTCATTATGTTTGTGATGCAGAGGGAAATTGATTACTGATAGGTCAATAAAACCCTAAACTGATAAAATGTGTACAGCAAAGTGCATTCAGGTAGCATGGAATAATAACTGACTGTAACTCAGAAACAGCCATTTATATGCAATTCACCTTGCATCCTTTTTATTTCTCTTTACTGTCTTCAGATTTAGTACAAATTCAATATAAATTTTTACTAAAAAGGCATTATAGTGCTTCCATGCTGTGTTTAAATAACAAAAAGAGCAGTGGGAAGAGTGTGGCTGCATGCAGGGGGCGAGTCTTAAGAGGATTGGTAATGCTAACTGCTCAGTGGTGGTCGCTGTCGAGGTGGTGGGTAGTCTCCTTCTTAATGGACTGGAACTGTCTCCGAGAGGAAACAAATGGTGTCCTGGGTGGAGGGAGCTGGTGGCCTTCCTTTCAGTGCTTCTCTTTTTCCTGGTATCATGCAGCTCCTGGTTGGAGGGCAGCTGGCAGCCATTGACCTGCTCAGGAGCGTGTGCAACCCACTGTTGACTCTTTGTCAATGCACATGGACAGAAATATCACAGTAGAGGCTGTAAGTGGTTTTAAGCTATTGACATTACACTGCACCCGCATCGTGCATCAACTAGGAAGTGTGGCTGACGCAAGACATCGCTCGGTTTCTAAATCCAAATTTTGTAATGACACACATAATGACAAACAGTTTATTCATACAGGAATGATTGCCTGTGTAGATTGCATACATGGTTATCTCTCACACAGTTCACAAATGAAAGCAGTCCAACGCTTAAAAAGTCTTTTTGTAAAACATAGCATGCTCATTTTTAACTACATGAAGCAATGTAGTGTTTTTTCTTTTGTTGTTTTTTTTTGGCATATACAAGTCCAAGAGTCTTATTAACAATCGCTGAAAGGTCACTGGTGTGCAGCCTGTCGTCTAGATGCAATAAAGTGTGTCACATTTACTGAACTCAGGCCCAGTGGGCTATTTTTATAGCTGTTATTGAACTGTGAGGAACAGCCCTTCACTCTGAGTTAATATAATTTGTGAAGTGCTGGGAGGACCCAAAGGACATCCAGCTTCTCTGTGGCACAGCAGAGGTAACCTAAAGTTTCACTTCTCCACTGTTTTGCAAGCTAATGGGCTTTACCCTCGGAACTGTACTTGCCTGGAATAACAACAAGACACAAACCTGCTTGGGCTTAAGGAAGGTGAGCCCCAGTTGAGCCTAAAAAAGAGGAAATAACTCCATTGCTAACAATAAAAAAAAGCCATTTTATTTGTGAGGTGATGTCTTGTTTTTTCAGATGATTCATTTTCACATATTTTTTACAAAAAATACAAAATAGAAGTAGAACAGTGGTAAAGCTGATTAGATTTTACAAAAACAGTGCATAGACACAGACTGCATATGAAGGATGATATAGATTGTGTTACATGACAGGACCAAAGGTGCAGGCTGTGCAAAGATGCTCCTGAATCAGTCCACATGCAACACTGAGGGGCACAACCTGGTGCCTGGGAGAGTGCACAGGAACGTCTCAGATGAGTACGGATTAGAAGTCCCCAGTGGGACTCGACACACAAAGAGATTGAGAGCAACAGAGCTGAGATCCTGCAGGACTTCAAGTTTGGAGCAGAGGAGGGCTGTCGTGACGGATGTGCATTCAGCTGACAGTAATGTCAAGAAGAAGGATCAGGACTAGATTGACAAGTTGCTAAAGAAACAACTGGAACAGATGTGGAAGTCCACAGCGGGAACAGAAGCATCTGGAGCGATGACCCCCCAAACTGTGAGAGCAGATTCCACAACACCTGAGGCCTCGATCCAGAAAAAAAAAAACACATGGGATGCTTTTGGGCACTGAGCTGACCGTGTGGACTGATCATTCCACTGTGGTTCAGCCATGCAGTTATGTAGCAGTCCAACTTAAAAGTTTGATGTGGATGGAGTTTCGACTTTTCTGTGTCAGGAACAGCAATGATCCAGAGAGTGGTGGTCTGTGTGGTGTGGAGGCTGGGAAACATACATGTATATATATATATAAACACACACACACACACATATATATATATCCTCCAGATCATGGTATATGATACACACACAGCAGCCTGACAGCATATTTTATTAACCAAACATCCCAACACAAACACTCCTCACACCCGGTACACATGCAGTGCAGGAAAAGGACGGTGAGCTGCTTGTCTGCCAGCTTTTTATTTACATGAATACACTTTGTATAACTCTGGCAGCTGACATTAATATTAATGAACATGCCAGTGTAGTAGTGTACCGTCCTGCTGTCTCCATCAGCAGGGCTGGAGGTGCAGTTCTAACATGCAGTCCATCCATCTTCCTCCCCCCCCTCACCGCTTCATGTTATTTTACTGCAGACAGACTTAATTTGGGAACTCGTGTTTACCTACAGTTTTATTTCACACTATTCTGAGGTTGTGTATTCTGACACGTGTGAAGTGTCCGTACTTAGACGCTACATTAGAGCCGTTAACCGGCCCGCACGGCTCGGTGTGTGCGCCGAGCGGTAGGCCGGGACAGGACGGAGGCACCAGGCTAAAGGCTAAAGGAGCTCACAGGCTGCAGTCCCCGGATGAAACCATCATGGCTGCCACTCGCTGAGCTGTCAAGCTCTCCACAAAAGAAAAAGGTAAAAAACCGACACAACTACACCAACAACTCCTGCTTTGTTGTTCGTTTCTTGCCCCCGGCGGGTCTATCTGCACCAACAACTCGTTTGGGGCTTTAAACGCCGCCGCGGTGTAACTTTGCTGCCACGCTTTGTATTCCTCAAGTTATTTCGTCTTTGTAAGCTCTTGTGCGTCACATTAATTCAAATCAGTCGGTGCCAGTTTGAACAGTTAGCTCCGTTGCCGAACAACTACACGCGTTTTCGGGCGATGGCGAAGCGGCTCCGGAGCTCGGTGGCTCGGTTGGTTTTATCGTAACTTAATTCCCAAGGCGTCCGTTGCTCGTTTTTTTTTTACAAAGGCTGTCTTATCACTTTGTTGTGGTCAAGTCAAACTGCACAATGGCCGCACGGTCCCCCCCCCCCCGATTAATCTGCTGCTAAAAAAGTGCTAGCTTACTTTACGTTAGTTTCGTGCATTCGTCATTTTATTTGTGGAAGTTTTGAGCTGCACCGCCCACCGTAGCGCTTTTAAATGTGTTTTTTAATGTTGGCTGGGAAGTTCACGAATCGAGCAGGTGGGTTTAAGTGCAGTTTTTTTTATTTGTTGCACCAGGAGGATAGAAGTTCTTGTTGTGTGTCTCATCTGGTTGTGATGAATTCACATGCAGGCTGAGGTAGTTTGAACCATGGCCAGCAACAGGTGGACCTGCAGGAAAACAGCATGCACAGCAGGACCCTGAATGCACCTTTTTTAAAACATGCATTTACTGTTTAACACATGCACAATCCTATGAAAGCAACATATTTGAAATAATCACTTTTGATTTGAAGCTGCGCATGCCATTTGCTAATCCTTTGTGTTTTTCTCTCACTTTCAGAAATCTGCAAAACCATGGATTCAGCAGATGTCCGCGCAGCTACCTCCGCAGGAGATAACAAACGGCGCGCCAAAACGAACAGAGATTGTCACAAACGGCTGCACCTCAGGAAGGCCGCCGCTCAGCCCCCAGCTATGCAAAGCGAAGATAAGCGTGGACCAAAGAAGACGGCGGCGGCGGCGTGGAAACGGAGCTCAGTGTGGCCTTCATCGCAGAACCCCCCCCAGGATGCACAGCAGAGTCAACGTAGGACAAGTGACAGCGGAAACACACTCAGGTTCACATGCTCTCAATGCAAGGACAACTTGGAATACGTTCCCAAAGACTTAGTGAGGCACTTTGAGGAAAAACACAGAGGGAGCCCGCCAGTTTTTTCCTGTCATATGTGTACTCTCACCACACACGAGTTCTCCTACCTTCAGGTTCATCTGTTAAGCCACAAGGACACTTTTTCTAGTTGCATCGTTTGTAGTGACAATGTTCAACGCACATGGGCCGAATTCAGCGCACACCTGACCATGTGCCACTGCCCGAATGGCAAATATTCATGTGAAGTGTGCCAGAAGTTCTCCACAGGTGACGTGAGAGTATTTTTAGAGCACATGTATGCACATAATCTGGATCTGGAAGGAGCGGATGATGTTGATGTATCGCTGCACACAAAGGACAAGAATCAGCTGTCGACCACTCAAACCTTACGTTGTCAGCACTGTAGCTATGAGGCATCTTACAAGTGGTTGATTACTAAGCACATTAAAGCTGTCCATGCTTGCCAGAATAGCAACCAGAGGAGTAAGAAGAAGGAGGTTCATTCCATAGCAATGAAACCAAATGACACAATCCCCAAAATGAAGTCCCGAATAACAAGAAGTACAGTTAGGGAAATGTGCTGGCTGACACAGGACTGCCTTTCTCTGCCAGGGAGAGAATTCTTAGACAAATACTGCCATCTGTCAGATCCACAGACAACACTTGAGGAGACGCAACAGTTTTTGATGAAATCTGTCGCCGGGGAAACCGGTGACCAGAAATGGACCAAGGCTCTTAAAACTGTTTTGTCAAACGTCCCTCAAGATATGAATCTTCACCCAAAGTCGGAGAATGGCATCATGTCGAACTCGTCGGATCTCACTGTCCTTACAGTCAAGAACAAGATAACTGTAGCTCAGAACGGTGCTGCTTATGCCAAAAGGTTGAAAATGATGTCTGATAAGGAAGCTGTTTCTCCTGAAAGTGCTGCTGATGATGCTCAGTGTGCGGTCGACCAAAATGGATGTCAGTCGAATTTGAACGATCATACATCCTGTACGCAGGCTGAAAAGAAACTACATAATGATGTTTCACTGTCAGTCCAGAATGAGCCGTCTGAGCGCGCTCAGATGCAGGAAAACAGGGAGAATCAGGAATTGAAGACTGAATTGGAAGTAGAGGAACACAATAAGAAGCTGGAGGGGCCTATGCAGGCTGATGGAATTATTATCTCCAGTGATCTGAAGTTGACGAATGAGAGTGAAGAGCAGACATCCGTTCATAAAGTCCTACCAAAAGTCAAGAGACGAAAACGGCGACGGAAAAGAAGGACCAGGTTCAAAAAAGCGGATAAAAAATCGCCAGGAATCCCCTTAAAGATAGTGTTGAAGAAGAACCCTGTGAAGGAGAAGCAGTGGGTGACGCAAAGCTCGTTGTCTCCATCAGGAGGTGGTTCAATGGACGGACTGCCAAACCCTCATACAGCGGAGATGGAGGAGATGGTACAGGTTCTCCAAAACGTGCAGCCAGCAGAAGCACCCCAGAAGAAATGGACCAAAGGTTCCAAGACTGATCTTCCCGACCCTTCTGAAGCCATTAGTTCAATCCTACAACCAGGGCCAGGAGAAGAACTCAACCCTAGGTGCGCTGCAAAGCCAATGGGGTCCACGAATATGACCACAAACAGGCCTGCCGCGCTCGAAGGCTTGTCGTCGACGTGTCAAGAAATGCAGGATGACGCAGAGAAATCGCCGCAGTTGTCGGAAACTGAAGTTGACAAGAGCACAAGCCACGCAAATCTGAGTGCTGCATCAGTGGCTGAAGAAGAGATGTACCCCGAGAACGTGCAGCTCCAAACATCACACGGTGGCACCGACTGCCATGTGTCTGACGAAAAGACGAGTTCACCCGCTGATGAAGTGACTCCTCGTAGCAGCAGCATGCCTTCCCCTGTTTCCCAACCTGTTATTACACCACAGGGTAAGACGGCAAATTATAGTTCCTATATAGACACAGTGATTAAAGATTTAACATGCAATGGCATCTTCTTGGTATATTTGAACTGTCGGTTTAAATGTTAAATTCAAAGCATTTTCAAGTTTTGCACCTTTTATCTTGCAGGTGAGATAAACGTTGAGGATTCCTGCCTTGCTCAAGCTGGAGCGCAGAGTAACCGGAATGCTGAAGGGATGACGGACGGAGAATCGCCCGCGGACTCCTGCCCAGATCTCCCCAGCAGCATCCATTTGCCCCCAGGTAAAGCCATCCAACAGGAGCCCTCGCCAGCCTCTGAGCATCAGAGGCAGCCGGTCCCAAAAAACCTGGAGAGGACCCTGAAGTTAGTAGCCATAAATCCCTCTCAGCTGGTGAAGCGTCCGGCGGGAGACCAGCCTGTTGTGGTGCTAAATCATCCAGATGCGGACATCCCCGAGGTGGCCAAGATCATGGAAGTCGTCAACAGGTACCGAGGAGAGGTGAAGAAGGTCGTACTGTCGCGCAGGACTCTGAACGCTCTCTCAGCTTTGAACAGCGAGGCCTCTGGGACGAGCGATCCGAACGACGGCCGAGCTGAGACCGCATGGCGGGGCAGAAGCTCCGTACAGGAGAGGTTCACTTTGAAGTTGAAATTTCGTAGGTTGACGAGGAAAAAGTACGAAGTGGTGGGCGCCGTCTCTCCCAGCAGGGACGCCGAGTTGAAGTTTCGCTGCTGGTTTTGCGGCAGGGCCTTCACCAGTCAGGAGATGTGGATGACCCATCGGCAGCGACATCTGATGGAGTGGAAAAGGCCAAACTGTGAAAACTCTTAAATGTCGCACACACTGGATGAAAAATAGTCTGGAATACTTTGCAATACAACAAAACAATAATGGAAACTTTTCTGTTTTTTTTTTTTAAAGAAAGTCTTAATTATGATTGGTTGATTGTTTTTTTTTGAGGAGAATCAAATCATGCTTCCTGGAGGGTTCACATTCTCAGGGTAATTTTAACATTTACCTATTGTCCCTCTCCCAGTCTGAGTAGCTTGATACAGACTCTTTGTAGATGAGTAATTATTTGTAAAGCCACACGGACGTGGTGCTGATCATTTTAGTTGTTTGTACTGTTTGTATTTTGTCTACGCAATAGCTTTATTTAAGGTGATTTAAGTACACTGTCGTATGGAATCTTTACTAGAACACTGTAATATGTATATTTGCCATACCATCTGTTTTATGGATCAGTTTATGTACGGGTAGGCTATACAGTGTGGTAGCTGTCATATTTATGTTTTTTGGAATGGGACACAGAGACCCACAAGTTACTCAGATATACCAAAACTGTGTGTGTACAAAACAAAAAAAGACAATAAGCTGTTTTATTCAACATTTATTTATGACTCTTAAGTTTAGCCTTTATATGCTTCCTTTATGCTTTTTTTTGTTTTGTTGTTTTTGGGCCATTAGAAGAATTAGTGTATTTGTAATTTTTAGTTTGTATAAACTCCAAATTATGTCGAGATGTAGTGTAAGAAATATATTTTCATGCATTTATCCAGTGGGTGCTGTTTATCCCTGAAGACAAATTTTTTTAAAGAAGTAGTCCTGTGTTTGGTGATGTCAGTGACACACCGACAAAATCATTTTGTGTGAAATCTGGATTTCTAAACATCAAAAAAAGCCTAGACGATTTGATCATGTGTTTCCTTTTCCTTCAGTGGGTTTCCTCTTTTGACTTGAAATGATGATAATCTTATCTTTTAATTGCACTATGAAAGGAGGATTTATATTTCCCCGTTACCTCACCTTATCAGGCCGAAGCCTACGACAATCTCAACCCGGTGTCCTACTGTGGCTCAACATTTCCTTATGCAGCCACCATCCCTCAGTATTCACGCCAAGGGAACGGCGGCTCCGTTGTGTGTTTGTGTCCGTCAAGGACCATTGGACAGATGTACCTACATTGTGCATGAATCTCTGTTTCTGCAGTGTCAATAATACTTTTTGTTTTTTTTCAATTTAGATAAAAGATTTATAATTGTACATAGTCCCGCCAGAGGTACTGTAAAATATTACCTGAGAATTTTCACCAAGTGCCTAGGATTTATTATTATGCAACAACTGTGCATGAGTATGATAGCATTACTTGTTGAACAGAGAATAAATGAAACCGTTTGTCAGTTCCTGGTGGCATTTTGTTGTGACTGAAGATATGAGCGGAGCTATACAAAACCAGAAAACAAGTTTTTATTCAAACAAAATATACAACCTTGTAGCTTTCGCTCCCCTAAGTACCGCTGTCATAAACAACTTATTTGTCTATGTGCTTCCTTCTGCTGCAGCAACACTCTCATTCCTCGCATTTATTTTATTACACTGTTTACTGACTGAGCATTAAAAAAAAAACCAAACAAAAACATCTTAATAAAACACGTTAAAAAGTCTTCTGAGTCGGTGCTATTTTAGCTCTGCATGGCCAGCAGTGCAGGCAAAGTCCGGCGTGAAGGAGGAGAAGAGCGTCAGACAGTGGGGCTGCTGCTCTGACGCCGGTCTAGCTGCAGTTTAAGGTTTAGGATGGGTTTGAACTTTATGTTGTCTGATCACTGAAAGCCTGTTGTTGTGTCCTGAGTAAGCTGTGAGTTGGAACCTGGTTTGTTGTGTCCAAAATCATCCACTCACTCCCTACGCACTATCTAGGAACCACTACGTCGTGAACTATGTTGGTCACATTACACAAGACACATCTCGAGCTATTAATTACGTCACTCGCTATCCGCGGTTTGTGCCCTAACGGCGTAGTATAAACACATCAAATTCGAAGTTTATTGCGTAGTTAAGAAACAAAATTTAACAGGAAATTACGAACATTTTAATGACAAGTTTTTGCGCTCTCATTCGACTTTCCTTTTTCTTTCACGCAATGCATGATGGTCCATATTGCTCGTTTAGCGACCATCGGCTGGACAATGCTTTTCACGGTGCATTGTGGGATATTTTGAGTGCACTATACAGGGTTGTAACTTAACATTCGGACAGCACTACTACCCTATATAGTGCACTATGTAGGGCAGGGGTCTCCAATCCTGGTCCTCGAGGGCCACAGTCCTGCATGTTTTAGATGTGTCCCTCTTCCAACACACCTGATTCAAATAATCAGGATCGTTATCAGGCTTCCTGCAGAGCTTGATGATGAGCTGACATATAGCGGATGATTTCGGACACAGCCTGATAATTTCTCTGCCCCAGTGCATGCTGGGAAGTCCTCAGCCCTGCCCCCTGTTCCCACCCTGATGATGTTCTCTTACACACCTGCGTTGGACAACTCCTCAGCTCGTTCCGACACAGCTGTCAGCTCTAGATTAGCATTCAGAGTGTGTTTTGAACTCCTGCAACTTCAGGCTGAGCTCAACTCATTCTAAGCTGAGTAAATGAGACAGTACGCGACAGAGCAGCAGCCCCAGTGACTTCTGTAAGAAGCAATCTGACAGTAAACGCAGCGGATTGGGATGTACGGCTCCAATCACTGGACTGTCTGCAATCGGTGAGGGTCATCTAGGGCTTGACAGGGTGGCACAGCTTGGTGGTGTCCTTGGAGTTGCTCTGACTGTCGATCAGCACCAGAGGAGTCCGCTGGTGGTTCTCAATGATGTGGGAGATGCTGCTGAAATACTGAAAAAAAAGGATGAGTTAGCCTGATTGTAGAATTAGAAAAACAGGAACAACTTTTAACAGTTACCTAAATAAATTTAACTGATCTCAGAAATGGTTAACAGGGACACTCACAGTGCTGTTTGAAGTCATCTGTTGTTGTAAGTCTAATACCTAAAAGCTGGTTGCACCCAATTAAATTACTTTTTTTTGTACATTTCAATCAAACACTTAATTATTTCCCCCTTTCTATATTCAGCGTTTTAACTGTGTTTAGTGTTTCACTGCCAAAACGTGGTAAGATTAGGGGCAGAACTCAGGTAGGAGAGGTATCAGGCAAATAACAAAATTAATGACGAGTGAATTATCTCTTTCGGTGGAAGCGTCTTGTTCAAATGCCGTCATAAATAAATGCGACGAGCAAACACCGGAGGCAGGATCAGTCACCAATTCAGAATAGCAAAAATAAGCCAATGACAAGAAAGTGAAGTGTTAGAATTAAACAGGCAAGAAAAATAAATAATAAAAATGAATAAATTCAATTAAAAAGCCAGAGTAAAAAGGCAGGTCTTCAGTTTGCTTGTAACAATAACATCCTCTGCTGTCCTCAGGTCTTCAGGAGGGCTGTTCAGAGACGTGGACCACAATAACAACAGGCTGCCTCACCGTGGGTTCTGACTTCAGGTATGCTTTAAAGGCCATGAATAGCAGGTTCATAGGATAAAATCTGATAACTAGGTCAGACTGAGACCATTTAGAGTTTTATAAACCAATAAAAGGATCTTAAAATAAGACTTTAAAACTGGTGGAATGCGTGCTCTCCCTCTGGTCACATGCTGCTGAGGTTTGAAGCAGTTGTAGTTGAGTTGTATTCTTCTTGAGGGAACCAGAGAGCAGATTTTTTTTTTGACAATAGTTCTTCCTGCAGGTAATAAAAGTGTGCAGTGGTGTCAGTATTGGCTGGAGAGAGAACAAGTCCCACTGTGGGAATGTTTGTCGAACTCCGGTCCTCGTGGGCCACAGTCCTGCATGTTTTAGATGTGTCCCTCTTCCAACACACCTGATTCAAATGATCAGGATCATTATCAGGCTTCTGCAGAGCTTGATGATGGCCCTCGAGGACTGGAGTTCGAGACCCCTATCGGATGATACGATGCTTAATGTCTTAATTGTGTTCCAATGTGGGGTTAAATTTTTAATGACTCTAAAGTTTTCCCTTGTTGACATGGATTTAATAACAGTCCTACAGTTTGACGTGGAGTTTCTCTGTCTGGGAGTCAGCAGGACTTTAGTTTTGTCTTGATTGAGTTGTTGGAAATTCATAGTTTTATTATGCTGGGGCTGCAAGGTGCAGCAGTGGTTAGCATCGTTGCCTTGCCGCAAGAAGGTCGCCGGTTCGCAGCGTGGTGCAGCGTGGGTTCTCTCCGGGTTCTCCGGCTTCCTCCCACAAGGTCCAAAAACATGTTGAGGTTAATTGGTGATTCTAAATTGTCTGTAGGTGTGAATGTGAGTGTGCTTGGTTGTCTGTCTCTAAGTGTAGCCCTGTGATAGACTGGTGACCTGTCCAGGGTGTCTCCTGCCTTCACCCTGAGTCAGCTGGGATAGACTCCAGCCCCCCATGACCCTAGTGAGGATTAAGTGGTGTATAGATAATGGATGGATGGAGTATCAACTGTAGTAGTTTAGTAAAATACTGTAGTATAACACAAGTACTGTAGTCAGTTGTATTTGTTGTACCACAGAGCTCCATATCTACTGTTTGACACTTTATTTCAGTGCCCAGTTCCCTACACTGTATTGTGCCTTCAAAAACACTCAGTATTAGAATTGTACAAACTTCTACTAATCAAACAGTCCAATGCTTCACACCTTATGAACATATAACCGTTGGCGATGATGCAAAGTGACTCATTTCCTAAGTGTCCAGCTACAGCCATGCTGCCGCGTCCTACTGGGACTCAAATGGAGTCACAGCTAATGTTATTATCCAACCTGTGCTTTTCTGACTGTGACAAGGGGAAATATTTGGCTGGTGGCTGGAAAAAAAGGATTACATGTGATCCCATTTACAGTAAAAAAAACCAAACCCCTACCTCACACTGCCTGAAGGAGCTAAGAACATTGTAAGATGTCCATGTAGAGCATTACTTCTAGTGTCCTGTGGTCTAGCTGTTATTTCACAGTGTAGATAATTAAAGTTTCAACTATTTAAATCTAAAATTCAGGATTTAGTAGCATCACTCCAGTCCTGTCTGCTGTGTCAGATTGAGGGTAAACAGCTGCCTCGACAGACAATCATGACTGTTCTGTGATTCATATTAGACATATTGGACAATATCTGCAGAGCTCTGTATTAACAACCACGATAGGAAAAAGTGTTGTGCTGTACCTCCTCTCCTTTCTTCTCGCTCCCCAGAGCGTACTGCTGAGTGCTGGGTATAAAGCGGATCGGGATGTTGTACACTCTGCCCTTATAAAACACCACTAATGTGTAGGGCTGCTGTGCGTCCTGCCCGGAGCTGTTCCTCACCATGAAGGCTCCATCCTGAAACAGAAAACCTCCTGTAATCCTCATCCTCCTCAGCTTGAAGAACAACACTGCTCAATGAGAAGATCCTCACTTTATTTTCGCGAAACAAGACTTCATACGCAGTCTTTCGGTCACATGCGGCGCCGTACCAGGGTTTCATATAAACGTCTGCGTCCTAAAACATAAAAGTCAGAATTTTAAAACATCGCTCTTGATGTGTTGATTCATCTTTACAATGTATTGCTGTAAGGGCACACCTTGGGTTGGTCTATCGACCCATTCTCAGTAGAAACACTTCCTCTGTCAGCTGGTTCTGGGACAACAGGCAGAACAATTTGTGTCACTTCACGTCAGAATACAAAACTCCAGTGCAATGTGTTGTTAAACCTGCTGTGAAACACACGGAGGAGATATACTTACTTGGGAACTGTGGAAGAGGAATTCTGCAAGAGAGCCCAAAAACAGAGCAGACACAGTAAATACACGGCACAAAGCTGTGATTAAAGGCAGTGTTGCTCATTTTGAGCAGCGCTAGACATCCACATAAACACTGTAAATGCAATGCAGACTGGTAAAACTGTACGTTGCATTCCTTACTTTGGTCGTTTCAAGTCCAGTGAAAAAGCTTTCGGGGGAGGTTTCTGGTCAGTACGCGGCACAGGTAGTGATCTGCCTTTGAAAATACAGACTTACTCAAATGATCTTGTTTTTTATTGAGCAAGAGGTAGAAAATGAGGACAAATTCCAACATTCTTTTAACTTTATCTACATCCCATTTAAATGGAATAAATGTGGAACACCTGTATATGATAATGACTTCTAATACGATTTAACTTATGAGTATGCAATAATAAACACTCCTCTGTATGTGCAGCACATGCATGTACAGTCGTCCTCACATGTATTCATATCCTCCCATTAAAGACGGAAAAAAACAGCTGAAATAAGTTGAAATTGACAAAAGTAATAATAAATAAAAATTTAATAAAAATCATGACGTTGCTTTTGAATTGTAGTTCAACAAAAATATTAAACAAACAAAAGCAAAAAACAAGCAAACAAACATGATGGGACCTGTAACCTAATATTTTGTTGAACAACCCTTTGAGCCAATCACTGCAATCAAGCTGTAACTCTCAATTTTTTAAATTATTCTTTTCAACCACAATTCAAAAGAAATGTCGTATTTCACTAAATTAGAATTTAGCAAATTTCTATTATTACTTTTGTCAGTTTCTAGTTATTTGAGTGACTATTGTGAATTTTGCCTTTTCTTTAATGGAAGGGTTTGAATAGATTTGAGGGCGACTATGCGTGCGATTAAATCCTCATGGGACAACAGAGGATTTCACAGAGTAATGTGTTCTTTATTCATGTTTCAGGAGAAAACGTCTGATATAGAAAGAAGTGGCTGGTTTTCTAGTGTTTAATAAATGCTCAGTCTGGCAAAGAATATGAGTTAATTGAAACACTTACTTTCAAATTCCCTTGGTTTTAAATCTGGCCTCTGAAATAAAAGTCATATTTATTTATGAATACATGTGCGTAACAAAGAAAGAAAGCAGTACAGTAAAGCAAGAAGGATATTCTGTATTATCCTTATTTTGGCTTTGTATACATTTAAAAAGAAATGTTTTGATGAAAAGACATTCCTACCGGTCGTAGAGGTGGTTTTGGTGACCTCCTGAAGCAACAAAATGAAATCAACAGATGCTCAGTTACTACTTTCTTAAAGATCAAAGCTTCGTTGTGTGTAACTGGATGCGACATTGTTTGATTAGCTTACTCTCTGGGTAAGAGGTTGGTTAGACGTGGAGGAGGACCCTCTGCAGGCTTATCACTGGAGCCTAGAGGAGCAACACAGCGCGTTAACATCTGCAAGTTTATACAGTGTGCATGTTGTTAACTTTAAAAAAAACAGCCACACGTTTCCTAGATCGCCTCTAGATGGCGCACCTTGTCAGTCTGATTCAAGGTCTTTCAGAAGTCGGTCGCTCTGTGATTTAATACTCACTCTCATCTGGATCACAGACTTCATATTCATCGTCACCTGTGGGCTCCTGAACCTGCAAAGTCAGAAAAACCAATAAACGTGCAGCATGCCAAATCTCTGCAAAGCATCTGCTTTTGAAAATTAGTCTTCACTTACAGGTTGAGGAGATCTCCTCATGTTCCCCCTACAAAAACAACAAGGCACAGCAACAGAGTGACTTTAAAAAATGATCTTAGTGTTTTGTAAGAAGAGAGAGAGGAGAATGTTGTGGGTCCTACCTGGGGCTGGGTATTGGTGGTAAAGAATGTGATTGTATTCCTGGGATTGGACACAATCTGTAAGATAGATGCACAGAAATGAATTATTAGTCTGTAGTCTAAATGATATGTCTCCAAATAAATGTGAGGGGTCATGAGGTGATGAATGGGAGAGGAAAGAAGAAGAACCACTTTTCTGATTGGTGTGTAGTACAGACATTTGTGTTTTGGCAAATTTAGTATTTCCTGATGGCTGTTGAACACACCACCAGACAATAAGGTTGACTCCTCCCATGGCCCAGCCAATGATCGAAGACATTGAAAGCACCGGTGCCATCATGGCTGCCTTTTGTCTCTGCTTGATTGCCTCATAGGCCGCTTTATGACTCTGAAACAGGTGCTGTAGTCAGGATTGTTTAAAGGGTTTTGGCTGTTTCAAAGACTTGATTCATTCATTTGCACATGATGATGAAGTGCATTTGTTTGACAATCCCATTTGCCTCATATCAGTTTGTTTGGCTGAGGTTTGTGATGCCAAGTTTGCCTGCCTTGGCATAATGTGGATGCTGATTCCCCTCAAGTAACAAAGACTGTTCTACCAAGCTATGGCTTATTTTGCCCAGCAGTTGACAAGAGTGTGATGGTTAAATATTTAAGCATGTAAAATGTTCATTGTGAATGTGTAATTTAAATACCAAGTTGAAGTATACAGTCACTAAAGTTGTCAAATAATTATTGTGGAGTAAAACTACAATATAACTCAGTCTATCTTAAAGTTGTTCTTAAGAACAGTAGCTGAGTAAATGTTCTTGATGTATTCCGCTGGTGATATTGTGTATTTGTCCCATTTTATGAATCAAGAAAGTCTCACACTGACCTGCTTGTTGAAGAAGTTGAAGAATTCTCCTGCAAAGATGCCGACAAATGCAACCAATGTTCAATTCCACATATGAATGTGTCGTATGAAATACTTGTAATTGGTTTTTACACAAACCTACCTCTTTGTCAGGGACTTCATAAAAATCTGAAAAATAACCAAAGATAAAATTAGGCATGAAGCAGATCCACAAATGCTGGATGATTTTAATTTTTTTTTTCAGCCTTCAGCACCGAACATTATTTACTCCTGGACATCACGACTAACGGGTCCTGATGTCTCTTAGTATGTTACATATCTGCACTGGCCAATAACCTGTTTAACACAACAGACATAGGGCTGCAAGGTGGCACGGTGGTTAGTGGTGGTTAGGACACCCGGGATCTTTCTTCAAGTTTGCATGTTCGGGTTCTCCGGCTTCCTCCCACAAGGTCCAAAAACATGTTGAGGTTAATTGGTGATTCTAAATTGTCCGTAGGTGTGAATGTGAGTGTGCTTGGTTGTCTGTCTCTAAGTGTAGCCCTGTGATAGACTGGTGACCTGTCCAGGGTGTCCCTTGCCTTCGCCCTGAGTCAGCTGGGATAGACTCCAGCCCCCCACGACCCTAGTGAGGATTAAGCGGTGTATAGATAATGGATGGATGGACAACAGACATAAAGGAGGCCATCTTTTTTGCCTGTTTTGCTTTAAAAATGATTGCCATTAAATTATGTACAGACATTCAGGATAAATTCTGACTTTATTGATCCCCTGATCCTCCAGGACCACCATGAGGTTGACCTTTTTGGTTTTCAGTGTAACATTCAACATGTTGCGTAATAAATTTGGTGTTGCCTTCCTGTGCCAATACGTCATTTTAATTCTCCAAATGCTTCACTTTATGACCTAATAGGTCGCCTGCAAAACTAATCTCATCCCCATCAGACTGAGTTTATTTAGAGCTAATTAGCAAATGTTAGCCGGCTAAAACACCAAATTAAAAAGGTTAACAATGTAAACATGATACCTGCTAAATGTCAGCATGTTAGCCTGTGTTTGAACTCAGAGACACACGGTACAGTGGAGAGAGAAAATAAAAGGAGTGGGATCCCCTACATCACTTCCTCTTGTGCTACATTTTCAGATTATGTATTCAACATGTGGTTGGATTGCGTGATAGTAGAGGTGAGGCTTGTGTTGTACCTACCAGGACTGGGAGGACACTCTGGTAAATGTGTAGGCAGCATGGGGTGGTCTCTTCCAGCTCTGTTCCCACCATGCAACATTTTATCTGAGGACAGGCATGGAAAACATTTTTGGTGTTTTGAGATTTTGTGGTTCTCTTAATAGCAGTTGCATGCACATTGCTGCTTTCATATGCCTCTATGGTCTGAGGTGTGTCTTACTGGCAAGTGGATTCTCCGCAGGTTCCACATAGTTGTCGTCATCGTAACCGGCGTCTGGATTTATGTAGTCTTCCTACAACATAGCAACACTTATTGCAAGGCGTTTACCAACACACAGTATGTGGTGAGATCTCACTAAGGAGTCAAAGTGTCTTTACTTCATCGCTCTCGTCCTGGCTGGGTTCAGGGGGCAGCTGTTTGGAGGCTTTGCCCGGGCGGAGGGGCTTCTTGGGCGGCCTGCTGGGCCGGTTACGGCAGCTGTCTGGAAAAGGAGAAGCAGAAGCAGAAACAGGACATCAGCATTTGCATGAAGCACCGTTATGAAGCCTTGTGTTTATTGTGGCTTTGGCTCAACAGCGTGCACATGTTGGTTAATCTAAATGAACCCGTGACACTTGTGCAGGAAGGGAGTGAAGGCTGCAAAGGAGAGACAGGACTCCACATGCGCGAGTTGTGAAAAGCATCATTAGAAGAACTACAATGATTAGAGATGTGTCAGCAAAAAGCAAAAGCGTCAAATGGCTGATCTGACCGAGATACTCCCCCCTTGGGAAGGAAGCAGAGGGAACTGTGGTGAAGACTCTGTGGCTGGGCGGAGGCTCGTAGCTGTCGTCCTCACGCGGATCCTCGTACATGTCATTGTCCTGAGAACAACATGTCTCTGATGTTCCAATCTCACAGACGAAATCAAAATGTTTTGAATTACAATGTGCATTTATTCCAACTTACGTAATCGGGATCAGACTGCTCGTCGGCGTCCCTGTTATCATCTGTGAACAGTTAAAAAAAGAATTTCAATACAAAACCTGAAAAAACTGTTGCGGCTTTCATTTGACCCAGCTTCCTAAAAACGGTTAACACCAGAAATTAATTAGACTGAGCAGGTGGCGGAGCACTTCTTCAGATTGTTAAGGGAAACTTTAAGTGAGCTGCTCCGTTGTGGAACCAGTGAAGCGTGTTTCCTCACCTCTTGTACTATTGAGTAATGTCCCGAGTGACTTTATCGCTGTTTTTACAATGAAGCTTGAACAGAAACTTCACGTAATTAAACACCTGGAAGGGGTGAAGTGACACCTAGCTGGTGTGGTTTTGTGTTATGAATGTGTACCGTTAACAGGCGTGCTGGTTTCATATGTCCTTAGATTGAAATGTAAGCTGCGGATGTGAGCCCAGTCAAACATTTCCTAACGTGATTATCTTGAGTTTAATTGACTTGATGTGCACCATGATCACCACAATGAGTTAAATAAGCATGAAGTATGCTTTTGTACTAAAACATGAATGCTGAAGTTCCCTTTATGACCTCGGAAATGACAGTTTTACCAAAATAGTTTTAACCTGAGCTCTGCTTTTTAGCTTTTTCGGTTAAAGAGTA